GTTTGGAGTACATCCATGATTATGGAACAAACTGACATAATAACAATAACAGATGCGTAGTAGGCATACTCATCATTATACCAAACGGTAACACTAAAAAGGTAATATCTGGCATCAACGTACCTATCTACATTCGGAAAACGCACCTGAATATTTGAAAAATATAAAATGGTGAGATTGCTTCCATGAATAAAAGAACAGGCACAGGTCGAAGATTTATTTCTATAGAATTTAACCCGTATGTAGCAAGACGTTGAGAAACCTAAAAATAAAGGAATGGGTATAAAGATGCTCTGAAATATAGATTACGAGAGGAGGAAGGATTGTTTCATACCTGATGTTCATTAAAACCGGTTCCTTTTGAAATGGCTTCATGGAAGATATGCGGAGGCGACTAAAATGGTGTTATGAAAATGGAAAATAAGAATCAACAGTATAAAGCACATTAACTGCAGATTATTTCGTGTAACAGAAAATGAAGCTGCTTCATACTAAGTCTCATGTAGTCCTCACTATGAATTACGCGCTTTTTTACTCAAAACCACTTGAAATCAATCTATTAATCATGCATGATACACTCGAATATGACCAAAAAGAATTCCAATTAAAGACGATGTGTTTTATACTGATTCTGTTGTACATAGACGATGAAAGATTCAAAAAGTAAAAATTCTGTTAAGAGAGAAACGGTTTAGAAAAATGTATGTTGGTAATGATATAACCACCTAACCTGACTCATTACATCACCAGGCGTAATCCATTCACCTTCCCTCTCATCGTTATCGTCATAAACCTTCTTCTCCCTTTCAACCCATATATAATGCAGCCTACGATATACAAACCACCGAATTTCGTCCACTTCGCGCATAGACCCGTCTTCTCCAGGGACAACCTGAAGATATTCAAGGATGGTAAAAGCTCGGATGGAAGTAATATTAAAGAAAACACACAAGTGGAGGTGCTCTGAAGCTCCTTCGCGTCGTCTCGATAGGGTGAAATTCCTCTACATCATGGTCGTCTCTTAAAAAAACAATTATTAGCTTAAAAAGACTCTTAAGGAAAGGCTGTTCCTAATTTACTTTGAAAAGAAAAAAAGAATGTAAAACTTGAAGACTAACTGACATTATATAGATAAAGTCGGCAAACGCGAAAGTTGAACGAGTAGCACGAAATGCTATATGCCATTTTTGCTTCCAGTGCAGAACCAAGCGAAATATTCCAAAAGTTGCTATTGAAAGAAAGTAAAACAAACCCTTAAACGGAATTTTTAAACAAATATATCTCAAATTACTTTCGTTTCCTTCTAGCTCACCGTTCTGAGAGGACTTGATTTGTATGCATACAATCGAAGTAAATGCTCTCCAGACTCGAGAGTCAGATGGTGGCGACGACCGCCACCTCCCTCTCCCATGCCCCAATGGTCACCGGTTTAATATCACCTGAAAGTAGGGAGTTAGCCTTAAAAGGGACCCAGAATCTCAAACAGAAGGGGAAGGGAATGACCACCACGGGCAGCCAAATCATTAACGTCACAATATGGCTGCATACCTGAATATTTCGTTATATCGACCACTATATATTGAGAAATATTCCCCCGCTGCTTACGCTTGCTAACTTATTTGCGGAAGAAGCAACTTTAGAACTTGCAAGACATCTATTCCTTTGTCAGAGAAGTCTTAAGGAAAGGTTGTTCCTAATTTACTTTGAAAAGTTTCTTGACTACTTTCGCAAACCTAAACGCGTTATTATAC